TCCAGCTCAGGATATTCCTTGATTCTGCTGGGTGGGAATGGGGTGCTCAGCTCCAGGGATGGCCAGGGTGGGATTTGGGGTGTCTGAGCAGGGCAGGAGGGTCCCTGTGGGTGGGTTTCTCCCGGCTGAGGACACTCCCTGGCCCCTCACCAGGCGTTTGCTGTAGAGCAGGGCGGTGCTGCTGCCACTCGCGATCGCCCAGTTCGTGAAGTTCATCACGTGCTTCACTTGTCGGGACAGACCCGTGATGTCGTTCTGCTGCTGTAACAACTTCATCTGCCTCTCCTTTGTGACGTTCTGCAAAAAAACAGAAACTTTACCTCAGCTGGGCTTTCAGATGTAGGAGGAAAACCCAAACTGCTGTCGGGTTTCAGATCAAAAGGAAAACGTCCCAAGAAAATGTTAACAAATGCTAGGTAAACAAAAGCCAAAATTCAAAATTCTTTTACTCATCAAGTTACTCCTTTCTTCCAGGAAGATTCGATTTCCTTGCCAAATAATTGTTCCTTAACCAGGAAAAATCTACTGTGATTTCTTTGATCTTAAATTTTTCATGTCATGGCAGGCTGGCCATTTGCACTGAACCAATTCTTACAAGGGATTTCCTCTCTTCAGATGAAACAGATAATAATAAGTTAAATTTTCATGGACTTTAATCATAAAGAATGCAAGTATTCAGAATGTGCCATCTGGAAAGGATGCTTGAACTCAGGGTCTCCTTTATTATGCTGTATTATACAACCTTAAATACCAGCATTAGCCCTTCATGGACAAATACATGAGACTGCTCTGTTTTTATGTGAACATTAAAAACCTATTTGAGGAGATTATTAAATTATACACACCTTAGAATTATGCTATAATACAGAAATAGGGTAAACAGAACATGAAAAGGAGATTTTTTTTTCCTTTGCAAGGAGCCCAGTTTTGAATAGGAGGCACAGACACAAAACTGAAGGAACCAGGGCTCTGATGAGAGGAGAAATGAGGGATTGAAGCCCAGCACACCACTGACAGGAGCTGCAGTTCTGCAGTCACACCAAACAAACCAGTGTCAAATGTGAGTCCTCAACAGGGCACTGAAAACTCAACACCACCATTGCTTTTTATTTCAAATGTACCTCAAGGTGCTGTAGGAGAGATTTTCCCTTTTTATTGATTTCATTGATGAGGGTGAATATAGCCACTTTGATTTCCTGTTCTACTCGTTTGTTGGTTTCATTTACTTCTTTTATCCTAAAAAACAAACAAAAAAAAGCAATGGATTATCAGTCACTTTACATTTCACTGCAAAAAAAATTTCACAACTTGTTTTATTTCAAATAATGGAAGTTCTTGTAGTTAACACACTTTATATAGAGAAATAACCAGCCACAATCACGTGTCTGTATGTATATTTATATATTTATAACCTAATCATGTCACTATGAAAAGTTTGTATCTGATGCTTTCAACTTTTAATATAATTTATATTAACCAGAAAAGAAATCAACCCTCAATTTCAAATTAATTCCTCCTTTGTAATAGAAGTTCTTACAGACCTGTAATACACAAACATTTCACTAATGATGTGCCTGATATTAGTCTAGATTATTCTCCTGTGCTTTACTACTCCTGGCTGCCAGATTTTTATACCCTCTTCATCACTGCCATTTTTCCTCAATTTTAGAGCTTTTGCAGCTTCTTCAGACTCAAGCAAACCATCCTGAGCTGTCCAAAATTTGAAATACAGCATTTCTTAAACTCATGAGAATTCTGGATTGTTTTGATCCTATACAGCCTTAATCCACCAAGATCACATTGCAGCAGATTTCTTTGCCACGAGCCCACGTGAAGATTTAAGTTGTCCTTTTTTTTTTTTTAAAGATATTTTTTTTTGCTGCCAGATCAGGATGTGATGTCACTCAGCCACAGGCCCAACACTCAGCCTGATGATGAACAGTGCTGAGGTCAAAGCCCTTTAGGGCACGTGGGACACACGTGGCTTTTCATGACAGCACAGCCTGGTCTCCCACTCCCAAAAAACACCCAACCAACCCTTCATTAAATCCATGGCATCCACCCTTGGCTTTGGCACCCAACAATTATTCCAGCAGAGCTGTTCCTACAACACTCCTGTGCTCCACCATCTGCCAGCACTGACAAGATTGTAAGACTTTCATTTTTCCAGTTCCCTGAAGCTTTTAGGATGATGGATTTTGTGTCCCACAAACCAGCAAAGCAGTGGAATGAATTGTCTCACCTGCACCAGCCATTTGGCTCAGCAGAAAAATGAAATTTTGACACAAATTAATCCCACACTGCAGAAATTCACTGAAGCCATGGGCAAACAAACCCCCACCATTACAATGTGTTACTCATATGTGCATCACCCACTGCTGGCCTGGAATTCCTATCACAGAATGTTTCTGTGCCATCTCTTGAGCTCTCAGTTTAATTATTGCCTACATGACTGCACTTCTGTCTCTTCAAGTGTGTAAAAATTCTGTGCCTCACAATGGTGTCGTGTTTTGGGACCTTTCAAAGATTTCCATGGAAAATCAGCACATAAAACCACCAATTTTCACTGCTTCCCTCTTCACACATTTGCCTCTGTTATGCTGTTCTTCCTCCCTTATACTGCTTTTTTTTTTTTTTATTTTAATGTAGATGGCACCACAACGAGTTAAAAATTTGCATCAGAACTTCTCTTTCTATCTTGGGTGCACATCCTCCTCCTGCCCTGGTACTTTCCACCCCCAGCTGATGTGTCATTTTGCAAATGACCTAAAAGCTGCACAAGGCTCACAAAACCACCAAGAATCACAGTGGAATTCCCTGGCCTGCAGCACAACCAAGTCACCCAGGTGGCTGCAGAGCCAGCAGAGATCCCGTGCTGCCCCTGCCTCCATACTCAGCATTTAATGTGATGTTGGATTTCAGGTAACCCTGGAAATCTTAAGTAAAGCTACCTAAAAAAAAAACCCAATCAAAACTCCCACAACCAACCTCAATTTCCTATTCAAATTCACACCAAGCTTTTGTTACACAGTTATCAGAGGTCTTCATATGAAACATAAAAATATTTTAATATTTCAACCCTTTTGTCTCCTAGAACTAACTTAGAAGAAATCACAGGATGGGTTTTCTTGCCTTTTTTATTCCTTTTTTTTCTCCCCCATCCCCAAAGTGTAATAAATGTGTCACACCTTTGGTTCCATTCCAAGCTGTCACAAAAGACATAACCTTTAACTTTTATTTCTTGTAAGAACTTCCAAGAGATGCAGAGTCTTGTAGGGGCAAATAAACATCATGAAAAGTAATTAAGATACAGAATTAACTCCAGTATGTCATTCCAGTCCCATCATTCATCTTACTGTGATTCATTAAAAAAGCAATGTAATAGCTGATCATTTGGGGGAACTCACCTGTTTTGAACTTGAGCAGCTGCAAAATTTACATAATTCTTCTTCTCAAGAAGTTTGGCCAACAGGTTCTCAATTGCACCCTTCTGGTTCTGAAAAGCTTCTTCCAGGAACTGGTACCTTTTCAACAGGCAAGAGAAGACCCAGCTTAGCAAGGGGCACTGGGCTGAACACAGGCTGCCCAGTTCACATGCAAAGCCATGAAATTTTGAAAAAAATACGACAAAACACCAAGAAAAATCAGACTCTGGATACTCTGAGCACTGTGCAAAATGTTTGAGGGTTGATAAAAGTCCTTTACTACTGGCCAGGAGACTGAATGTCTGTGGGAAATGATCAATTCCAAGCACACAGGGATGCACTGCCTTGTTTCCCAGGAGAGCAGCTATGGAACAGCAACCTCAGAGTGTGATGATAAAATGCACCAATAGCTTAAACACACATTAAAGGACATCAAAAAAGAACCCCCTAAACTATCCCAAATTTCCCAGTTTTTCAGCTGAGATGATATTACTCACACTTGACTGCATTAGTTTAATCTGAAGAAAATTTCCCTATTAAAAAACTTCAAGTTTTTTCCACCTCTGCAACTTCCAAGTGAAGAACATTCCCTTCCAAGCTCTTGAACTCAACAGCTGCTATCAAAGGTACTTCCCATTACTTCATCTGAAAAGAGGGTAAGTACCAACAGCTGAGGGAAAAGAACAGGATTAAATACCTTTTCCTAAAATACTGGAATTAAGAAAGCCACAGAAGCAAAATGCCTCTGCTGAAAATGGTAAAGGGGAATTAAAGCAGCTCCATGAATTTCCATCTTTTCTGATCAACTGCCCAAAATCAAGGATTTCTAACAGTCACTTGCTAAGTCTTGTCTTTGTAATAAATAAACTTCACGCTTCTGAAATGTAATTTGTTAACAATAGGGAAAACTTAAGGTCCCAGGACACCTTGGCAATGTTTTCCCAATATTCAAACTGGCAGAAAATTCCTGCAATTAATGAAGCATTCTATAATAAAGTGCATTAGAAACAACTTACACCATCTCCCAAAGAAAATGAAAAAGAAAGTAGTGTTGTGTTCTGTCACGATCTAGACCATTACAATCTCACAGGAAAAGACTGTCTGGATTGTCATCAAACTCCCAGCAAGACAGTTTTTAATTGAAATGACTCACAACCATGATAACAGATAAAGAACATCATTCACAACAAAAACAACTCTGCTCCTGTTAATTCAGTTTGTACCAGCAACAGACAAGTCTGAACTCCAAGAGTTCAGATTCTTCAGTCTCACTGTTGGAATTTTGCTTTTCCTAAGAACAGTCTAAAGTTCCTGCAGACAGACAACAGCATGAGATTTTAGACACTGTAGTACAAAAAAAGTAGCATTCCTAAAGCCCAAAGACAGCAAAATTTGAAGTGTTTGGGAGCTGCTGATTTTCTGGAATTTTTTTTCATTAAGTTCAAAATCATATTTCCACTTGAAGGAGAAATGAAAAAAAAATCAACATTCAGCTTGTACTGCTAAAATTTTGTTGTAGCTCTTGCTACGGCCAAAATACTTTTCTTTTTTCAGCATTGTACCTGCAGCTTTCCAAGTGTGTGGACTAGAAATTACCCAAATTAGAGGAATCACACAGCATCAGGCTGCTAAAAGAACTGTCAGCTTTCTACAGAATCCCCAAAATCCCTGCCCAAGACAGGGGTGGAACTGGATGATCTTTAAGGTCCCTTCCAACCCCAAATCATTCTGGAATTCTGTGACTGAAACTCTGAACATGAAGCTGCTGAAATGGAGATTCACCCTCCTTTGGGGTAAAGTATTAAGATTTCAGGTAAGAAGAAAACACGGGATTCAGATAAATTCTTTTTCCACTTGGCATGATTCTCCACAAAATCTCAGCTGTCCTTCAGGCAGACAAAGCAGTGCCTTAATCACCTGTAATTCACACCTGCACACAGAACCACGTGGAAAGAATATTCTGCAAAAAAAAGCACGTTAATAACAATGAATTCTCCTTCTGGAAGAGCAGAGTTAAGTCGGACAAGATCCATCTGTTAATCCATTAGCAAAATGCACAAAACAGATGCAAAGAAACCACAACTAGACCAAGTCAGTGAATATAACCCAGGAGAGCAGCCTTTGTGACAAGGGAGTCACCCAGGACATTTATGATCAAACCTATAAAAGAACAGAGCAGGAATATTTGAGGGTGTTAATATTTTAATAATAATAATAATAATAATAATTTCAAAAGTAAAAGTTTTCCAAAGGCTGCTGGTAGCAGGCTGAGAATAATCCCTATTCTGAGAAAAACAACACTAAATTCAATATTACACCTTAATAGAGAAGAGTTAAGGAAAAGCAATGGTGCAGTGGTTGATAAATATGTATTATCCCCAGATTCTCTATTATAACACTGAAAAATATTTGTTCAGACATTCAAACAACTACAAGACAGAGCTGCTAAAGAGCAGAAAGTTGGAATGTGTCTTAAAGAGGTTCCAACTCTTCTTCTAGCAGAGGCAAACCCAGCATTTCTTTTTTACCTGGAATGAGGCAACTTTGAATCCAGTAAATCCAAACCATATTTCCCCTCTGCACTAGAAGAATATATTAATGTAAGAGGCAAAATTTAGACTTTCCTTTCCAAAATTCCCCTAAAGACTGTTGCACAATCAAACATGGCCTTTCAGAAAATAACCTCACCCATGACTCACTTATCACTTTTGCTTCTTTTACAGCACCAGGTGTTCAGGGCTGCAGGAATTTCCACTCAAGTCCTGAACACAGTGACAGCACTGGGAACTGCCAGGCAAATTAACCAAATTAAATTGGTTTGAATCTGATCTTAAGAGACTTTGGATAAAGCTCAACCAACTGACCAAGTTTCCATCACTCCACACAGGTTCTCCTTTGCAAAGGATGGTTTCAGTCCAACAAGGAGCAAATGCAGCAGAATTTCCAACACAACCAGTTCACATCAATGCCACTTCATCCTCTGAGACAGCACAGCACAGCAGTTACACATGGGAATATCTGTACCTGTGTTCTTTGTGTTCCAGTAACTGACAGTCTCTGCATGTCAGCCTGTCACAGGTTTCACAGAAAAGTTTTAACTGCTCTTGTTTGTGGACAGGGCAGAAAACAGGACGTTGACCAGATGCTCCCACGGCCTCTGTTTTTAAAAATAAACCATTTGTGCGTTTTAAAATAAAATTTAGGCAATCTGAAGAGCAAAACAACTAATTTCCAGTAACAACCAAGAACTTGCAAAGACACCTCCAGATCTGTTCTCACACTGAAGTTACTCTGAGCACTTTAGGTCAGGGTTGGACTTGATGATCTCAGAGGTTTTTCCCATCCTTCATGACTGTGATTTACAGTCCCAGAGGGTAAGAGCTGTTTTCACTTTATTCATTCAAGGAGAAGGAGGAATTCCTCTTTTCTCAGGAGCACCCTGTAAGACTGCACACAAACACCAGCACAGTGTAAATGTGTTTATAAAGATTTAATTCCATACAGCCTCACCTCTGGCACACTGAAGGATGGGTCAAACCTCTCAAACCTTTTTAATTTTTACCCCAAGGGTTTCCCAGATTATCCCTTCAAACACTTACACACCTCATTTAGTCAAACACAACTGAAGTGGGAACTGCAAAGCAAATGTTGCCTGTGTTAAGAGGCACTTAAACCCCCAAATAACAGCAAAAAATAGTTCTGGATTTACTAAAAAAGTGCTGCACAGTGTTCTGAAGGTATTTTGGGCTTAGCAAAGAGGAAAGCAGCCTTTGGAAGGTACAGCAGGTAGTTTAAAACATGAACATTTCCCTCATGCAAGTCATTGTAAAGAGCTGGTGAACCTACAGCTGCCACTCACTGAGAGAAATTTAAAGTCTCCAGGGCACATCTCTGAGTCTAAGAAGAAAAAAAAAAAACAATGACTGACCCTTCCCCACAATCACAATAAATAAAATTTCTGATAGAAAGTTTATTTTATTGGAACAGTCACTTTTCAGCCCATTCCCAGCAGATATCAAAGGAAAAGCTGAGCTGTAATATCACACTGAGAGTCACAATCTAGCATTCCTTGTAAAAACATCAGTAATTCTTGGTCCCTATAATTTGATTGAATTTAAGGGTTTCTCATCTATGAGGCTTAATACATTTAATCTTATATGGATACTATTTCTTATTAAAAATATTCATTAAGACATAAAGAGAAGCCTCTCCAAAATTAGGTTTATTTGACAGAACAAATGAAATGAGATACTTGTCTAAAAGAACTAAGCTCAGCAGCAAACTTTTTAACTATTAAACATTTTTCAGAAAGTAGTGTTTGTTCCTTTGAAAGGATACAACAGTACAATTATGAAGATCTTAATTCAATTTAAATGAATTTAAATGAAGAGAGCAAAGTGTTGAGATCTCTCTTCCTCAATATGATCATTCTTCAGATACATCTAGATTGTGGAGAACCTACAATCTTTTTAACTTTTAACCCATTTATAAATAGAATTTTCAAAGCTAAAATCCAGATACCTTGGACCTGTTTGGAGAACATTTTCCACATTACCTCAATAAGCTGCAAATGATATATGATCAAACAACAGTTTAAGAATTTACTTCTAATAAGGCTGCACACTTTAACAAACCTTACACACACTTCACAAATTAAATTTTGCTCACTGAGAGACTAAACCTAAAATAGATTCAAATTCTACACTTACTCAGCAGTATCAATACAAAGTAACACCATATATTGAAGGTAACTGTAAACTTATATATACATTTCTACAGGGAGAACTGTAATTGCTTCTTATAACAAAATACAGCAAAATGTGTAATTTAATTTCCTTGGACAATGGGTAAGATTATCAATTTGCCATTGCTCTCCAGATTCCAACCCTTCCATTTAGTTACTTGTTCTACTAAACAGAAAGATTATTAAGAATGGATCTAAATCCTTTCCAAAGGCATTGGACATCAAACTGCACGATGTATCACTGTTATAAATTTAATTTTTCTATTTTTACAGCTCCTAATTTTTGCACTGGTAACTTTTTCCTGTACTTTTCCCAAATCCTGGGGAGAAAAAACACGGAGTTGGTTGTTACCTCCATCATCTTTTAAAAATCTAAAGAGAAAAGGCTCTTGGGACAGGCAGGACAAAGTGATACCCAACACTCACCTGATGACACATCCTCTTTTTTCCTGATCATGTGATCTTTAGTGAACTTGACTCGCTGGTGAGCTTCTATGCAGGTCTTACACAGCCACTCCCCACACTCCACACAGAACCCCACAGCACTGGCATTGTCCTCACAGCTGGTGCACACCTGCAGGTGGAAAGGAACCAGAATTGTCCTGGGGAGCACTGACAGGACCAGAGAGCACAAAGGGGTGAGGAAAAAGCACCAGAATTGTTCTGGATGGCACTGACAGACCCAGAAATCAGAGCAGGATTGGGGAAAAAGCACCAGAATCCTCCTGGGGAGCACTGACAGGATCAGAGAGCAGAGATGGGGCGGGGAAAAAGCACCAGAATTGCTCTGGGGAGCAATGACAGGATCAGAGGGCAGAGGAGAGGGGGGAAAAAAAGCACCAGAATTGTTCTGGGGGGCACTGACATCCCAGAAATCAAAGCAGCATTGGGGAAAAGGCACTAAAGTTGTCCTGGGGAGCACTGACAGTCCCAGAAATCAGAGCAGGGTTGGGGAAAAGGCACCAGAATTGTTCTGGAGAGCACTGAAAGCCCCAGAGAGCAGAGGAGGGGTGAGGAAAAAGCACCAGAATTGCTCTGGGTGGCACTGACAGACACAGAGAGCAGAAAGGGTTGGGGAAAAGGCACTAAAATTGTCCTGGGGAGCACTGACAGTCCCAGAGAGAAGAGCAGGGTTGGGGAAAAAGCACTAGAATTGTTCTGGATGGCGCTGACAGACCCAGAAATCAGAGCAGCGTTGGGGAAAAAGCACCAGAATTGTTCTGGGGGGCACTGATGCCCCAGAGCTCGGGGCTGGGGCAGGCAGGATGGTCCTCACCTGTTCTGATTTCTCATCAGAGCTGCTGGGGGTCTCGGACGTGTCCTTCACAAAGTAATTGTCCACCAGGTCGATCTGCCGGCACTCCTGGCGGCAGATGGGGCACCGGATCACCCCCACTGCAAAACACAACATCCCACGGGCTTTGAGGGCAACAAAAGCCACAAAGCCACGTGCCCAAACCCACAAAACACAAAGCACACTCCTCCTTTCACCTGGGTAAAGGATTCCACGTTGACATTGCCATTAAAAACCAGCCATGACAGGTGTAGAACAGGTTTCACCCCAAAGCACACTCCTTCAATTAATCCCAAAACACCCCCACAAACCTCTACAGAAAAGGATTCCCCACCTAGTTGGGATAATTTCTACATCATATTCAGTTTTTCCTACTTATTTCTTCCCCCCAAAAATCCTATATTTTTAGCAAAGTCATTTGTTGCCCCCAAGCAAATATTTAATTCTTCCCCCTGTTCATTTTAAGATTACAAAATTCAAGACACTTGGGGTTTTTTCAATTATTTTTTAGAACAGTCTGTGGTCCAGCCTGTGTCAAGACAAGCACTAAGAGGTCTGTTCCCAGATAGCTGGGGTGACCTCAGTGATGTTCCTGAAAACACCATGGCACTAACATGTCCCAGTGTCCTCCCAGGAAGATTTCTACTATCAATTTCCAGGAAGTCAGGGAGGCAGATGAAGCAATAAAACACCAGCTTCCTGCTTTGTTATTCTTTGTAATCACTAAATTAGTTTTAAATCCTCAGCAGAGCTGCAAAGAAGTTACTACATGAAAAAAATTGACATTTAAAGAAGTCTACAAACAACCCCCATAAAGGTTTGAAAACCTATTTATAACCTAGGTAGTGGCTCACACTTCACAGAAGTGTCATTTGATCTTAAATCAAATTCCTATACAATTTATTGAGAATATAATCTTCAAAAAGCTTTCCAAGCCATTAGGTATTTTTATACACTAAAACAACTTTGAGAAGTGTAATTAAATGATGCTCAGCTCCTTTGTGGATATTCAATTAGGACAGCAGGACTTATTTCAGGGAGATTAATTACATTAGCAGTGGAGTAGTATTAATTTTTTCAAGTGCTAAAATTAATGATGGTTTCAGAACACAGGAGATTCACTGCAGAGCAACAATAATCCAACTAAAAATCCCCTGTCTCACCAAACCAAACACATCTCAAGAGCAGGATATGAAAAATAACCAGGACTGAAGCAGCTACACATACAAGAGCTTTCACACACAGTGAAACCTTCCCCATATGCAGAACTTTGAGGTTTTCTTACAACTGAGAGACAAAATTCTTTAGGGAATGCCAGCTAAAAGCCATCCAGCAGCTGATGTGTACATACTTACAGAAAAAAAATTTCAGTTATTTACCCTTAAAACCACTCCATCCAAACCAAATCAAATCCAAACTCGATTTTTAGTGCTGCCTTGGGTCAAACACACAGAATATTTCAGGGAAACAACAGGAAAATATTGCAAAATATTTCAGGAAAACAATATTTCAGAAGAAGCTCAAGATCTGTAATCTCTAGACAACAGCAAGTCAAATTCTACAGATCAAACCCCTTCCTGTAAGGCAATTTTTGGGTTGGTTTTAAAGTAGCCAAATGAATGAAAGCTTCAATAAAATCAAGCTTTTTGATCCAAATAAGAGCCCATAAGCTGCATTCTGGCCAGGGGTAATTCCACCTTGCTCTCACAGTCCAACACTCAATTTTTGCACCTCCACATTCAAATAAAACCTGCACACACCAAGTGCCCCCAGTGTTCTGCACACACCTCAAGGCCTTGCAATTCTCATTTGGCACATTCCACTCCTTTTTCACATCTCAACACCTTTTATTTCCAACAGCAGCTTTCCAATAGTATATGAGCCACTAAACATCTCATATACCTGGTCTTTTAATCTAATAAAAACCAAATTACTGCAGCACCATTTGTACTAGAAAGCGAATGTACTGAAAAGATACAGATGTGGCTAATTTTGTGAGGCAGGAGGGAAAAGTAGAGAAAATCACACTGAAATAGCATTTACATAGAAAAAAAAGAAATTCTTTGCTATCAAAACTTGAGATAATTTGTGAGCTAACAAAGTTTATTGCAAAAATTTAGTGAGAATGTATTTTAGGACAAACTGAGTTTCAAATGTTTATATAATCTCTGAGAAAAACAAGTTTTCACTGACAGTTTCAATTTTAAAAAATCTTATATAAGAAAATAAAAGTAAATATAAAAGCATCATCCTATTTATAGTCCAGCAGATTTCACTATGTTGTTTTTCTGCACGAAACAAATCAAACACATTAGTCCTGGTACAAACATTCCCACTATAACTCTGCTTTCCAAAAGCATTAGCACACAGTAAAAACCACTGTTTAAAGATCAATCTTATTTTTCAAATCCCAGCTGAATCAGAATAAGACACATTCACACAAATTATGAAGGTCAGCCTGGTTTATGATCTCTCTCAATCCCATTTATTACCACCAAGATTTCCTATGTCCTCAGAGATGGCTTCATCTTATTTTTGAGGTGTAAATCGTTGCTCCCAGAGTTCAAGAGCAGCACTGAAGCGAAGAGCTGAGAAAAGGGAAGTTTCTTTCAGGAAGTTCTGACCACACCACGTGAACCCCTGCACTGAGGGTCGGAACCACTTTGTGCAGCAGTTCCTTCGTGCCTACAGAACCCTGCCCTCAGCATTAACTGCAGGAACACAGTTATGCTTCAGCTCCTGGAAAAAAGAACAATTCAGCACCCTACAAACTTCACCAGCCACCCACAGGTGCTCCTGTGGATATCAGTAATTCCATGAAGAAATTCAGGGAGAATCATCCTTTGGATCTAAAAGGCCACAGGAGATTATGAACTGTTTTACAAGAGCTGCAGATAACAGGGACGGGCTTTCAAACTTCTTTAGCTGTACTTTAGAGGATCCACCTTGCCCGTTTTTCCACTTGTTTCAATCACACACCTCTAGTGTGTAAAACCTGCAACAAATACTCATTATCCCTCTTCCACAGCACTCTGGAGACACAGCTCTCTGCACCACATTCCCCCTTCCTTTATGTCCTATCCCCAATTAACCATGCAGCTCAGATCAGATTCTGTTTTTCGTCCCACACTTCTGCAGAACAGCAAAAACATTTCCAATCATACACATTCCCTGTCCCCCATCTGCTGCTACAACAACACTCAGCCCAAATGGAGTTTTGTTTTTCCTCTCACCCTGCCTAAGGCTGACTGAAGGGAGAAGCAGGAATAGTTTCCTATCTGGAAATTTGGATTGTGAGTCAGGAAAAGCCTTCCTGGCACTGCCAACCCTGCTCAAAAAAGGTTTCACCTTCTCACCTGAGCCATTCCCCCCTGCCAGAGCTTCCCAGCCTGTGATTCAGGGAGGAAAGAGGCTCCCAGATTCCCTGTGCCACACTCCGGTGAGTCTCCTGACACACACAGAGCCTTTCAGGAGCTGAGGAGCGACACAAAGCACTGACAGAAACACGGGAATGTGGTGAGGGATGGATCTGCAGGAACTCCAGGAACCTGTCCCTGGGAGCAGCTCTCCCCAGCCCTGATGGCAGCTGGGACAGAGCCCACCCTGATGGAAACGGGAATTCTGGCACATCCCAGGAATCATCCCTGTCCTGCGAGGGGCTGCTCCTGCCCCAGGGGAAGTCACCCAAGGCAGGACATGCTGGTGAAACCGAGGACACAACAAAAATCCTCCTGGAGGTTCCAGCTCTGCTGAGCCAGGACCTGCCCCTCTCACCAGGAGCCCAGAAGACCCCAGGGGAAGGTTCAGTCCAGCACACACATTTCACTGCCAGTTACACAACTGCACGCACAACTCCTTGCATTGCACATCAGACCTCCTGACTTGTCAAAGATTTAAGAACACTAATGAGAGCAGCATCTCTGTAATCCTTTTAACTGCTTATGGTGTGGATAAAGCACACTGAACTAGACCACAGGCATCAAAGCACGGCAGAAAGCACCAAACTGAAGTCAACTGAGGAGAAAAGTTGATTTTGTTTTCCTAAAATCAGAAAGGCTGCTAAAAAGCCTACATCATAATCCAGCAGCAAATCGCTATGGAACACTGCAAAAACCTTCAGATTTCAAGTGAAAGATGCTTTTAATCTGCCACTCTCAACTCACACCTAAAGCTGCAACACAAGTATTTTTCTTAATTGTAACTCAGAACTCTGTGAATATCTTTAACACTTCCCAAGGGCAACTACTTTCCTCTGAAGGCATCTCAAAACAGGTAATTTTTTTAACAGGTTTCATCTTGAACTAGTTTCAATAAGACAAATATTAAACACCTGCTTAGAATTGCTTTCTCCAGGCTGACATAACAATACCAACGATACTAAAACATTGCCAAATTTCGGGGATGCTCAATAGCTCCAGTGAAGGAAGGGGAAAGGTTGATTTTTCTGTATTTCCAGTCTTGTAGGATCAAAACAGACACACTCCAGTGACAGCTCATGTCAATTCTCTGGCTACTGTCCCCACTCCAGCCTGAGACTCAGGAATCAGTGTGTGTTCAACTCATACCCGTTGCTTTTGCACAAGAAAAAAACTGGGAATGTTCTCAATCTTCTTTGCTCCCTACCCACCCTTCTGGGCATTTCTTTCTGGAATTCCCCCAGCTGTTTCACAGACCAGCTCTGCAACAACGAGGCTTCCTGAGCCACTAAGAATTAACCTGTTCCCCCACCAAACCCACCTACAAACATCCTCTTGATCTGGCTATTTTAGTTTTTGTTTACAAACACTACAGAAGCCTCCTGGGAGAGAAGGGGGAGGTGGGGTGAAAGGAAAGGGCAACACACAAGGAGCCATGGAAATTCATCTAGTGCCTAAAACCACCACAGGAGCTAAAGCAAAATAAGGAACTTTTATAAGAAGCACTACACTGAGGACTCCACATTCACTTGTTGACTTCATTCAATTTAAAATAAACACATCACAGCCCAACCCAACCTCAATGAAATCTCACAGAGAACAAAAAGCAATAATGGAATAATTAAGAGAGTTATTGATCTGAATGAGGATGGCATGGATCTGATGAGATCATGGACATGAACAGGGGAGGGCAGAGCATGCACGTGATGAACGAGATGCAAAAATCCCTTTGCACCTCAGAAGCACCCAACGGATCCTCTCCATCACTGGGACATCACAGGGAGTTTTTCCAGCAGTTCAAATTTATAAATGCAAAGTTTATTCAAACATTGACCCCAAACACTTGTGTTCCTAAACACTTCTATTTACATACTAAAATTCCTCATTTTGTAAGATCCAGCTCCTTTAACATCAGCTCTGATGTGTAGCACAAAACTCTTTATCAATTTTTTAGCTGCTTCGTAACAGTCTGAGTACTGAAACTGTAAAAAAAGAGGATAAAGAAGTAACTTTGTCCTCACTTAACACCCTGAAATAGAACGTTTGAAGTGTGTCATGGACAAGGAGTTGAACGGGAGCCAAGAGCACATCCTTCCCAAGGGAGCAGTGTGTGTCCCAGGCTGCACTAGCAGGACAGGGACAGCCACCCCTCCTGCACAGTGGCAGCAGGATAAAGGCATTCTGCTCCCCCACGGTCCAGCACTGCCCATCCCAGAGGCACCACAGCTGCAGGAGGCTCCAGGAACCTCCTGGCTGCTCCTCCCACCTGGCCGGCTCCGGGCCAGGGGTGGGGCTGGGCTCACCTGGCCCTGCACCCCACGGGCCGCTCCACTCCAGCCTCACTTGTGCCAAAGAACGGCTTCAAATCCTCTGACATGGGCGAGACACCAAGGAGCACAAGCCTAAAGCTCCATCACATCCCTGACAACCAGGATCCCAAAAGCCGAACTGTGGGGAGCAAGCAGCAGCACTGGACACGTCTGGTCCCACACACGGCCCTGGGCTGGGTGACAGTGCCAGACTGATTCCCCAACACAAGTGACTGGAAGATAATTAAAGTGCTCTCAGATGTTTACACTGTTCCAAACACAATGAAACTTCCCAGTTCAGGAAATATTTGCAGGCACTTGTGCAATCCAGTAACTCCAGCTTCCGTTCTGGGTCCAGCCTTGGCAGGGGATCAGCCCTCTCAGGAATGAATCTCTGCCAGGTCCCATTTATTGGGTGAGAACTCCAATAGTAATTACTCCATGTGCATAATATTTATTTGTGTCAGCGCTGCAAGGGTCCAAGCATCTTTCTGCACAGCCATACATCAAAACCCTGCTCTAATTTCAGTGATTAAACCTTGAAACAAACCCTCACAGGTCAAGGGAGAGACACTATCAGATTGAAATCTGTCAGAATAAAAACACATTTAAAAAATAATTAACTGCTTTCAAGGTCCACTCCTAAATCAGTTTTTTTGTTTTTTGAACAATCCTTGATTATATTGCAATTATCATACACTGAACTGACAATACATTATATTTAATAAGTAAAAGAAATGTACAGCTGCCACATATATCAATTCTTATAAAAATAACACATGCCTTAATGTTCTCAGACGGAAATATTTTACAATACACTATTAATTCAGACTGAAATTTATGTTTCACAGCAAGATTTTTATTAAGTCCAGAATATGAACTGAACATTTTCCAGAACTCATGCTGGGCTCCAGCATATATTCATGAGTCTCGTTTATTAACACAGGAGAAAAAGAAAGAATCAAGAGAGTTCAGGTGATGTCTACTCATATCCAGTTTAATAAAACTTAAGATACTGCATTTACACAGCTTAAACAGCCTTATTTGATGCAGGAATTTTCATTCTTCTAGACTGAAAATAAAGTAACTACCACCAACTCAATGTAAGGGACATGTCCCATCCTCATACACATCAGATTTTATGTCTTCCTTTCACAGCAAATTTAAAAAACCAAAAAACTTTAGGTGTGATTAATACAACACAGCAACACTGGGTAGAGGAGCTGAATTTAGCATATCAAACTAATTTATGGTACCACACCCCACAGTTCTGGGTAGTAAATGTGCTGCTCCTCAGTTTACACACAACCAACTGTGGAGGTTTTTCAGCTCGTTTGGTTTTTCAGCCTAATTGTAACTGCGACATTCCCAAGGAGCTGGGAGAGCCCCACGCTCTCTCTACTGAGATAATCATCTTAAGAGAGATTGTAAATATCTCATCCAGGCAGTGAAACCACAAAACAACCTCTCCTCCAGCAGCAGGAGCAGCAGTGGGTGCAGGAAAAGTTG